CCCCAAAACCCCAAAACCCCAAAACCCCAAAACCCCGATGAAGATATAGCAGTAATTAAAAGATGTACATTAAAATGTTCTATTCGAATAATTCAAATTGATGAACTATTATAAGATTATCTAATAAAATTACTACCGAGAAAAAATTATTTAAAATGGCACAGTTTAGAAAGAAGCTAGGTACTGCAGCGATGCGCTATCAATTTGATTTGACTATCATAGCCGTTTCTATGGAACTACCTTACTTTGTTAATGTCAGTTTGGTTTTAAAAAGAGGTATGTAACTATCTAATATCATAGTTTTACTCATAATAATATCCTAATGAACTCATCTGATAATAATATGAATAGGACCAAAGAGATTAGAAACAAAGAACAAATTAAAAATTGGAGGAGAGGAGATTAAGCGCGTTGAATTTAATGAGACTTTGTCTATGCTTGCAACAGTACACAAGAACAAATAGACAGGAGCTTTTGTTGAGAGAAATGTAAGTACCATTCAAGATGCTTTGATTGAATAACAAATGATATAGGCTAGTTTGATTGTCTAATTTTAGAAAGGGGATGCATTGAAAAATGTGGGAGTCATTAAGCTCAATATTGGGGAGACTATAGATATCGCAGAACCTATCAGAAAGAAACTTAGAATAGATAAATTGAATCCTTAGTATGAGGGAATCGTTGAGATATCAATGAAGTCAACTTTAGTAGCAGGAGCAGCATCAGGAGATACTCTCTCATAGATGTCTGATGTACTGAGTGTGGATAGCGGTGTGGATTCAGAATTCGATTTTGAAGATTTTGAATAAGAGGCAAATGCAGGTGGTGGTTAAGCTAGCGCCCGTAGAGGAGGCAGAAAGCCTGCTTCTATTATTAGGACACAAATCAAAGCAAGCAACGATCCTACACGACCTCCTTTAATGCTTGGTAAGCCATTGTCAGAAAAAGATGGTGCTTTCGACCCTTAGAAACTAATTGATTCAAGTAATAGTCGATAAGAAAATATGATATAGAAATAAAAATCTCTAGAGTCAACTCCTTCTGCATCTGATCTATTAAGCTAGAAAATAAAAACAATAAGAGCATCTGCATTCAAGAAGCAAACTTTGTCGAATATTCCGTCTCAGGATTAACTTTAAGCACCATATGTTTAACAAGAGGAACTAAAACTACCCCCTATTGAGGAAGAAAAAAAAGAAAAGATTTAGGCTGAAAGAGATTCTGATAAATAAGATAGAACACCTAAGAGAAAGTTATCAAGAGCAGTGGTGAAGAATATCAGTCGTGCAGGTGAAACTGGTTTAGAGACTATAAATGAGGATGTAAAGGAAGAAAATGCACGATTGAGTTAAATAAATTTAGGAAAGATTGTTATATCAAATGATATCAAAGTTTCTCGTGTATAACAGTCTTAAGAGCAAAAAAATGATGCTACATTAACTTAGACTACATCTTAGAGTAATATTTAAGAAAAGCCAAAGTCATCTCATTAGCCACTTATTATCCCAAGTGCTTAGATTTTCCAACAGTAATAATTAGTAAAGAAGGTCGAATCACTAAATGAGGAAAAAAATAAGTTGGTGGAGGATTATTAGAAGTAGCTATAATTAGTATTAAGAGATAAAGAGGCTGTAAGTTAATAGGTGGGTAAACTAGAAAATTAAATGCACAATCTAGAGACTGAAAAGCAAAAAATATAATTGAAGAATCAGTAGAACGAGAATCAAATATAGAAACTAAAGTCTAAGATTGATGATTTAAACACTGAAAACACTCAGCTCCAAAACTAATTGAACGAATAGGTTAGAGAATTAAGCACCAAGAACGAAGAGAGTAGTAAATAGTAACAATAATAACTCAAAAAGCTAAAAGAATAGATCGAATCAGTAGAGAGGGAGCTGTAAGATACTAAAAATAAATTAAAGGATAAAGAAAAAGTTATATAGCAGAAAGAAGCTGACATTGACAGCTTAAACTAAAATGTTGAGAAGCTAAGATAGCAACTTATTGAAACTAAACAGAGTACAATGTCAAGTCAAAGTCAAATAGAATAGAGTCTTAAAGAAAAGATTATAAAGTTAGACAGAGAAATCGATGAATTAAAGAAAGATAGTAGGATGAAACAGGGCAAGATAGAAGATATAAGTCAAAAGTATAATGACTCAGAAAGAGAACGAGAGTAGTAGAAGTTTATGCAAGAAAAACTAGAACATGAGAAAAATAGATTGACTGATTAGGTCAAGAAAAATTAGGAAAAGGAAAAAGAATAACTGAAATAACTTGATAATGTTAAAAATGAATTCAAGCAAAAGGAGACTAGGACCTAGCAGGAGATAGATGATTTGAAAAGATAGATAGAGTAAATTGAGTTAGAGAAGAATTCAGCTACTAAACTGGTGAAGGAGAAGGAAAGGAAAATAAAGACTCTTGAAAGCAAGATTGCAGACCTTGATTAAGACAAAGTCTCAGCTTACAATGAGTATTAGGAGTAGTTAGAATCTCAAAAGAATATTTATGAGTTGCAAATAGTAGAATTCAGAAAAAGAATATAAGAGTTAAACGAGAAATAAGAGCAACAAAAACAATAAATTATTTAGTAGTAGGAATAGTTGAGTTAACTATAACAATAGTAACAGCAATTACCAAGAGCTCCTTCAAAATCACCTAGCAGAATGCAAAAGCAAGTCTAGTTCAAAGATCAAGACGCTCGTAACAAAGCCAACAATAAATAGAAAGGAGCTGAGTAAGAGGATCATGAGTTGCTAACAGAGAATAGGAAACTCCAGGAACTTCTGGTCTAGAAAGAAGAAGAAAGCTATAATGCAATTCAAGAACTTAGATAAGAAAATACACGTCTTATGAAGCAAATGAAGCAGAATAGGTCAGAGTCTCAAAATAGAACTAATGATAGAGAACTAGCCAAACTAAGTGTGGAAAATGACAATTTAAAATAGTAGATCGAAGACTTAAAGCAAAATAGATAATCTATTAATACTAAGATTGAGAAAAAGTTAGCTGTGTCTAATGACGATGAAGGTGATGAGCTTGTATCCTCTTTAAAAAAGAAACTAAAGGAGCTTCGCGAGGAAAACCTTTAACAGCATCAGCAAATTAAACAATTAAGTCTTGATAATAAAAACATAGAGGATAAGTTAGTAGAATCAAAGATTCAATGTGCCAATCTAGACATGGAAAATGATGATTTGGCCATGAGGCTTAATTAAAAGAAAGAGCAACTTAATATATTCAGTGAGTAAGTCACAAAGCTTGAGATTGAATTGGTAAAGTCTAAGTAGGATCTGGGAGAAGCACTAAATGCTGTGTACGAGTATGAACAAACTGCAGCTGACAGAGAGTTAATGCAATCTATTGAATGCAACATGACCTTCAAAGAAGGAATGACCTAAAGTTAAACTCAGCGTGATGGCAGTTAAGACAGTATGGATATTCAGAGTAACTCTTCAAGCTCTAATCAAAAGCACTTAGACTAGAATGAAAATGGCAACGGCAGTACCAAGAAAAAGTCTAACAAAGACAAGATAAAGAGCTTTTTCGCTGGAAGTAAAGGCAAGAAATGACTTTGAAGATTATCCTTTTTAAATGCTCATTTAGAACATACTTAAATATCATTGAATTGAACAAATATCATTAATATTAATGCAACAGCACAATTTTTAAAATTTCAAAAATATCCTTGATTAACTTACTTGTATGATGTACGTTCTTATGGGGTTTTGGGGTTTTGGGGTTTTGGGGTTTTGGGG